ATTAGTGAGCTTTGATCTAGATAAAATGTGTTCTGAATACTTTCTTGGTAATTGCAGGGTTTGAGTAACTTGAGTTGGATATGAGTATTTCATATATTTGCTACTTGTATTTTGATATTAGAAGTCTTACCGCGGAACTTCATCTCCAAAGAATTTCCTATCTCTTTGTTGTTAATCTTTTAGAACACGTACACATTTGATACACATACTGGTTAATGATTTTATGTTTAAATGTATTATATATTTTGAGAAAAATCATCTTAGGAATGGGAGGTGTAGTTTATTACGAAACTAAAGTGGATATTAAAAGATATTTTAATTTTACCAGGAGACAGACTTGTATACATCAATACATTCTAGGAAACTATAGGGTGCCAGGTCTGAATCACATATGAGGTCCATAACTTTAGATTATAATTTTAGAACCTTTACTAACTTTGTAGCTACTTGGAGATCAATGGAAAGAAATTCAGAATTGTTTTGTGATAATTTGAGTTTCTTCTCCAATAACTCAAAAACTTTTAGCAGATGCTTTTAGCTTTCAGAGACTGATCAGTCTTCCAAAATCTCTCTACCCTAACCCTATATCTTGTAAACTTGTAATCTCTTTGTTTATTTTCTCTATCTCCAACAAGATATTTTTTGGCGTATGAAAATTTCATGTCCTAAGTGAATATACTGGCTGTGAACCTGCAAGGTTGTTTGCTATGACTTAACCTCAATGAATATTTAATATGTACACCTTTACAATTATTGAAAATTAGTTTTTGATGAAGGTTGAATTGAGTATAACTTAAGAAAAGCATTAGTGGAGTTTGTAAATGTGACCTTTCAAATATGCATGATGCACTTTAAGCTACATAGTTGATGATATTTTAAGTCTTCAACTGGTACATTTTGGGCTCCCACAGACTGGTATATTTTAGAGTTCAAACTATTATAAGGATGATCCTCATTTTCTACCAGATGTGGGTAGATTGATGCCTTTGACAAAGCTCGGATGGAGTTTTTTTTGTTTTGTTTCAGGGACAGTTTGCAAGAGAAACTGATTTTGGTAGGATAGGAATTAAATTTAAACCCAACCCTCCTTCTTATCCAACTATAATTTTTTGAATTTTCAAAAGCATCCACCTTAGGCCATTTTTTTCTTTTTTGGAAGATCACATATTCTTGATTGTTTGAGTATAAGAAAAAAAGGTGTGAAAATTGAATGAGTATAGAAGACTCATATAATTGACCCTAACTAGTTCGGGATTGAAGCACAGTTAATGCCGTAATATATGTTCAGAGTTGCAAACGGATATCATGATAAGAATTCTTATTAGAACTATATAGTGAATGTTGGATTTTGTAGAATATTCATCTCTAGAAAATGTAATTTTTCTTGGTATGTTGTTTTACCATTGTTTTGTTTTTTTGACATATCAAGATTTTGAAGTTTGAAGAATCTGTCTAGGAAGAAAGCGCAGAGCAAGTATAAACAGCAACCGAGTATGTTAAAGATCAAGTTAAAGCATAAAAGAGACATATTTTTGGTTTTTTTGGGCGTTATTTAAGATATTTTTATGTTTAATTCTACAATGTCATACAATTTAGATTGATATATTTTTGGTAATGTGAGGTTTTAGCTCTTGTAATTATCTATGAAATATTATATGAATATTGACGATTTGTATTTTTTTTCATACTTGCTCAAGTGTAATGTATATGAAAGAAGGATTACTATTTTTTATGTATCTTTACGGTAATTATCATATTAATGATCGGGTGCACTTTTAACAATTGGATTAGTTGTCATAACTAATGCGTTTTCACGTAATAATTAGCGAAGGAAAAATTTGGTCGCTAAAAGTAGGTAGAACGACCGTATTTCTTGTTGTCGCTAAATATTTTTAACGACCGGATCGAAATCTGATCGTAAACTTTTAACGTCGAAACTTTTAACGACCATCGACGATCAGATATTTTTTGCCCGTTAATTACTAATTGCGACTGGATCAGGACTTTCAACGACCGTATTTCCCTCGCTAAAAGCCTTTTTTCCTGTAGTGCACGTTACACACCCTTGATCACACTATTAGCCTATTTGGCCAAGCTTTGAGAAGTGCTTTTTTCAAAAGTGCTTTTGAAAAAAATACTTTTGAACAGAAATAATTTGTGTTTGGCTAATCACTCTGAAAAGCACTTTTGAGCAATAATTTGTGTTTGGCTAAACTTTTCAGAAAGTGCTTTTAATTATCAAATTACGAATAAGGACATGAATAGATACTTAATAGTTAATATTATAGGTAAATAAATAATCTTAAAATTTTGTTATTACATGCAATAATTAAATCTTTTCATTTTATTTAAGTAAAAATTTGAACCTATATCTGCAACCTGCAAAAAATAGCAAACAAGTTAGGATGAAACATTCTGCTACCAAGTTCTTGTGTGTTTTGGCTGCATTGAAGAATATTTGGTTTTGGGTGTTGAAGGAATGTTGTGGATGCTGTCTTGTTGGGATATTGTTGTTGTATGTCATCAAAACACCCCAGAATGAGCATGATGTCATGCTAACACCACTGGGAAGTAATTAGATTACACACAACCATGCAGTACCTCCCAAACCACAAGATCAGTAGTCCAGCTATACATGTGTAAGTTGGTTGTCATGTTGACGGACATGAAGGTGATGTAATCACAGCAACAATGAAGTTAAAAATACTTAATTCTTTTAATATAAGTTAAATATATTAAAAATCATTCAACAAATATAAAAGATTTCACCCCCAAAGTCACTATATATTAGAAAGCTATCCTAAAAATAATAAGAAATATTTATACATCAATAACCTAAGTATTATGTTTAACGGTTATTGTGGTATATATTATATTTTGTTAAGGTTATTTTTGGTAAAAAGAAAAGTCAAAACTATTTCTGCTTCTGCTTTTCAGAAACTACTTCTGCTTCTTCCCAAAAGCACTTTTTTCCCCCCAAAAAACTTGGCCTAATGGTGGCATGTGGGCCGGTTAGGACCGGGCCCGGCCTAGGACCACAAGCCCAAATGGGCGGTGGGCCTAAACGGTCCTAACCGGATAGGACCAGGACCATGGGAGGTGGGCTGGGTAGTGGGCCGGTTCCATAGGCGAGGCCCGCAAGACCGGGACCGGTTGGGACCAGGACTAGCTGGGAAGTGAGCCGGTTCAAACGGTCCTAAACGGGCCTATCCGGGCCCAACGACTAAATTTTTTTTTTTAAAAAAAATATGCCACATCATAGTCGTTATGGCATTTAAAATATGACTGTTTTACCTGCCAAAATAGTCATTTAACCCAAGTATAATATATGAAGTAGATAGACCTTTAAAAAGTCCTCTTTGGATGACCCGAACTGGTCCATTTTTGGATTCTCGTTTAAGCAAGTAGGTGACAGTCTGCGCAGTCTCGCAAAGGCTCCCATATATCTCTACTCCGATATCATATTGACAAACGGTTTAATGAGTTAGAAAATAGACTCGCAGATCTTTAATATGATGTGTGGAACACCTTTGTTTTAACCCCAATTTTTTTTGTAATTACACCTTTTCTTATATATATATATATATAGCTTATATATATATATAGAGAGAGAATATAGCTTATATATATACTATAATATACTATATATACATATTAAGATATTTATATATATCGAATATAGCTTATATATATATATATATATATACTATAATATACTATATATACATCTTAAGATATGTATATATATCGAATATAGCTTATATATATATATATATATATACTATAATATACTATATATACATCTTAAGATATGTATATATATCGAATATAACTTATATATATACTATACTATACTATACTATACTATACACTTATTATATATATATATATATATAGCTTATTTTTGTCTTTAAATTTGAATTAAAAAATGTAGGTCACAATTCTATAATATAATTTACAAGGAATTTCCTTAGATTTATTACCGTTTTTTTTTCTCTAACTTCTATAATTTTTTTAAAAAAATAGAAAGTATCTGTTGGGCCCACTTGGGCCATGGACCGACCCACTTAGGCCCGAGACCGTTAGTTCGTGGTCCCGGTCCGATTCCAACAAGAAGCCCGCGAAGCCCGGGCCCACATATGACCTAGCCCACTTAGGACCGGGCCCACGAAGCCTACTTAGGACCGGGCCCGGCCCACATGCCTCCCTTAGCTTGGCCAAACACCTCAAGTTAGAAAAAAAAAATACTTTTGAAAAAAAAAAACTACTTTTGTCTCCAGAGAAGCTTGGCCAAACAGGCTATATGTCCATGCGAGTAAGTCGTGTCTAGTTGGCACATTTCGGACTCAGTTCAGGACTTGTTCAATAGGTATGCCAAGTTTAAGGGGCCATTTATGTACTCTAATTTTATAATTGTTTTCTTATACAAAGGCAAATTTCAGTATCAGATTCTTAGCGCAGCTTGTACATGAGTAGATGTGAGAAAATGATTAAAAGAAAACAGTTATTACCCATATGGTCATATTATTCATTAAAAAGTGGGTTGGATAATGAACTTTTTAACAATGGGTGGATGCGAATCATATTATCCACTTAGAAAATGAATAACCAATAGATAATTAATGAGTTAACTTTTACATTTGGAAAGACTCAAATTGAGGTTCCTCAAGTTTGGAGATTAAGAATTCTTCCAAAAATGATCATATTTAAGAAGTCATGGGTAATATAGATATCTATATTATCCGCCGAATAACCCATTTTTTATCCGTATTAAATATGGGTCGAGTCGGGTCGGATAATTTACTTATTTCAAAACCCGCTCGACACAACCCGCCCATTTGCCACCCCTATATACATGAGTGTCAAAATTCTCCGCAAGGAATGTCCCACAACTTCCCTCAGTGAAAATTTTGAACGACGTTGACGAATTGAATACTCTGCGGCTAGTAACTTACAGACAAATTCCACACACACAAAAAAAAGGAATAAATATACATATATGAAATTAATGAATTTAACCCCTTTCGACCGGGATATAAAACTAAGAAACAAGACCAGTTTGACGTCACATTTGGATACCTTACAACAAAACAATGAATGTTTAAACTTATCATGATTACAACAAAGGCAAAGGGGACCCCCGAAAAGTAGAAAACTCTATCAAAAAATCATTACCAAAATTGTCTTGACAAGATTTTATGGCTTCGTATTAGAATGACTCTGGTTTAACCAAACTATATTTCTGTAGCCTTACAAGCAATGGTTCTTCCGCTGCCTTCTCGTGAATTGGCGAAAATCTGAAAAAAAGAATTTCCCTAAACTAAACTGTCAAGGGTTTGGCACTATTCACAAATGTGGCACTTTTGTCAAAACCCTCGAGCACTAAAATTCTCACTGCTTCCAAACCATTATGTAATGTGAAGTCCAACTGAAATTAAAAGAAGCCAAACATCAATATGTGATTGTATTTCTGAAATCTACTTAAATAAGTAAAGAAAAGCAAGTACCTCCTCACGTTCTTGTCGATTGAATGCGCGAAGAACAAAACTTGCGGGATCCATTTTCCCCGGAGGCCTCCCAATGCCTAAAGAAAATATCAATGTTTGAAACTACAATAACACACAGAAATGATGTACATAATGATCTGAGGTAATACCTATTCGTAAACGAGGAAAATCACGGCTCCCTTTAAGGTGATTCATAATGCTCCTCATCCTTTAAAACATAAGGCAAGAAGTTAGTCATGCCAGTAAGCAGTACCCATAAAGCAGAGAGTGCAGAAAAATATATTTAAGCTAAGAATATTGGACAAGCAAATTCTTCAGATCACCAAGGTTTTCCTATTTCTTTTGTATTCGTTCAGAAATTACAGAAGGAAATGGTGCTAAATCTAAACCTATCCAGACAGAGTGCTAACGGTATGGCCTTCATCTTTTTATTTACTTTACTCCGGGCTCAGGAGGGAGATTCTACATATATCAAGCTTCCATATTCCATGTATCATAAGATGCCCTACCATGACATTACTTTACAGATTTAAGACACCTTATAGTGGGAGACCAGAAACGCCAATCACAAGGCTTTATTCTAGTGGTTAGAGTGCAATGCCCGATGTGTGGTTAGGCGCACATCACGGGTTTCGAACCGTGTGCCACTGGCTCTTGGGGATCTCTCGTTTATCAAAAAGAGAAACCAATCATATGTTTTACTCTTTCACTTAAAGCCAGGAGAAAAGCAGTCAACAAGCAGTTTTGATTCCAACACATCATGATCATTTGAATGTGAAGATTATTTCTATTGTTAAATTTTCATCCACAAATAGTCGTTGTACCAAGTAAAAGTGTAAAACAATGAGAAATTGAGGAAAAAAACCAAAAACTAATGAAAACCAACTACTTGGTCTGTAGACCAGCTTGACTTGTGAACCTACGCAAATTGATAAATCCATCATTACGTCTTCTTCACACTTTGATGATCAACCAAAAGCAGTTTATGAGAAGGAGCAAACTATGAAATGCTTGGTATCCATCAATATTCTTGCTTTCAAGTTTTCAATCAATTACTATCTACATATTCAAGCATCAAATATTCAAGCAAATAGCAGAAAATCTGGAATAGACTTCAGAATCATTATAAGCACATGATGAAAGCTCCAGATAAAGGAAACTATTCAACAATAAAGATTACCCATTGTGTCCTCCATGACCACCTTTTGGCAGTAACCGCAACTTTGCAAAAGGCAAATCCAAATCGTCAAAAACCTGCAATTATAAAGTTTTAGTTGGAAGTTATTACAAAGATAAGTTCTATGCTCAATTGTCAATAGCTTACCACAAGAACTTGTTTCAGTGGAATCTTATAATATGAAACAATTGCTCCAACCTGTCAAACAGTGTAAAATATCAATCTTATGCTACTTGGTGGATGGAAGCTACAAGAGACAGGTCATGCCAAGACAAGTGGACTTACAGACTCACCACTTGCATTCATGAACGTTTGAGGTTTAGCAAGCATAATTGGAACATCTCCAATGAAACCTAGAAAGCAAAAGAAACCAAAGAACATGAAAGTGATCCTAAAGAGCAATTTTGAATGACCGAGTTCATTATCAAACTTGTTCCTTCTTTCCACTTCTTAATCCGGAAAAACTTTGTTTAAATAATCTCCCCCATAGCCGCAGCATGTCAATGCAGTTTACCGCAAAGATAGCCAAATATCAACATTAGTGGTACTTCAATAGTGGCTAAATTAGAGAACGAAAACCTCAATGCAACAAAACAAAGCCTAGCTTCAATAATTAGCTAAGTTAAATGGAGTATCCATAAGGGTTGAGTAAATTCTTCTGCTAATTTTACTGCATTTTGAAGAATGTAGATGAAGCACCTACTTAATAGTCACAAACGTTCGAAAACAGTAGATCAAAGCAAATCAATGACCCATTTAACAAAGCTAATCAACAAACAAATTTATTTTTGATAACCAAGAAATCACTAAAAGCACACGATTCAGCAGATAATGGACCAACCCCTCCCTTCTCCAGTTATATACATAGTCTTGGCAAGGTTCAAAGCCGTGGCGTGCCCTCTTACCACTATGACCAAGGCCCGGAGTTCAAAAGTTGGGAATATTACAACATAATTAGCAAACAGATACGGATTATATTAGAATCACAAAAAGATAAAACTTACACACCCCGTATTTACACCAAACCATATTAAGTTACCATGGTTAAGTGATAAATTAAGGTGAGAATGTATTTTGAATATTTACTATGTTAATGTGACGACGTGTATCATGAATCCAAACAGTAATGTGTAATAATTAACTATGTTAATGTGAAGACGTGAGTCATGTATCCATTAGGTTCGTAGCTGGTGAAAATAAGTTTTTTCCCACAAAAAGACTAGTCAATGCAATGATGCTGTGCAACTACAATGATACTGTGTAGACAATATTTTGAAACGTTAGAAAAGATCACAACGTAACTGTATATATCAGGAAAACTCTGAAATCCAGTATAATCAAGCTTAAAGAAAGTACCTTTCCCAAATTGAGCTTTAAAGGAAACACTGCCCATAGATATTCCTTCAGCATCAGCTATAGTATCTATCATCTCAAAACCCACCTGCCAAATTCAATAGTATTATCAATACATGATATAGAAACCAGTGCGAAAACATCAAGTATATTAGAAAAAGAAGAGAACGGACATTATGACGGGTGCCAGCGTATCGTTTCCCAGGGTTACCGAGGCCAACAATAAGCCAAGGCTGAGGTTTCGGCTTCGGCTTCTCCGGCGGTGGTTCCGATAACGTCGGTGAGGGTGATGGGGAGGTTGAGGTGGACATTGAACAGGAAATTTGATGTAAAGAGTTAGTAGCGGCGGTGTTGCTCATCCAATTCCTCCAGTATGATGATGAATTTAGGGTTTTGGGAAGGGAAAAAGAGGAGAAGAGGCGGCGGCCGCGGCGGCAAAGGACCGTCGCCGATGAGGCAGTGCTAGAAATTGCACATGCTAGTTTCATTGTGGTTTTAGATGGTAAGTAGGTGTTGGAATCCGAATTTTGAATGGGAACGGATTGACTCAAATGGAATTGTATGGCGGCCAACGACGTCGTTTGGTTTACCCAAATAAAAGGAAAAAGAGATTTTTTTAGCCACTCTAAAGCATAAGACTTGGAAATAAATGAATAAGAAGGCAAAGTTACACAACTATGAGCATACGTTAATTCAAGGTCTTTTCATTTAATTACTCACTTTCTATGAGATTATAATGAAATTTATCTGGATGTTTCTTTTTAGCGAGCTATTTGGATGTTATTCATTTTGAAAGTTAATTTGATGATGATAACACTTGGAAACAGAGAAATCGCCATGGAAATTTATTCTAGGGTTAGAGAAGATTCGAGAGAAAAATCATGGCTCAAATCTTTTCACATTAGCTAATGTTCCTTCTATCCAACTGTACAAAGAAAATAATATATATAATGTGCCTAAATGTAGCCGGATCGGACCTAACAAACTCAAGTCCACTAAGACAAAATAATGCAATACATTAAGTTACAACTATTGAACTTATATCAAGTTTGGGCCTGTTTTTGTCGTGGACCAGAAGCTGAATATCCTTCAAGTCCAACACCCCCCTCAAGTTGGAGGGGGAAACCACCTTCAACTTGGAAAGGAATTGATGATGACTCTACCCAGGAAGAGTTTTGGTAAGAATGTTTGCCATCTGCTTGGAAGTAGATACATGACTCGAGTGAATCAGGCCTTCACCCAACTTGGAGCAAATAAAGTGACAATCCACTTCAATATATTTTGTACGTTCATGGAAGATCGGATTCTCAGCAATATGTATAGCAACTTGATTATAAAAAAAAAAACAGAAATTGGAAGAGAGACAGGAACATGTAGATCAGACAAGAGTCGAACCATCCAAGTTAATTCACCAATAACCTTGCTAATGGCTCGATATTCTGCTTCAGTAGAAGAAAGAGAGACAACAGGTTGTTTCTTGGACTTCCAACCAATCAAACTTTCACCTAAAAGAATACAGAAACCAGTAACAGATCACCTTGTATCAACACAAGCAACCCAATCACTATCACCATAGGCACTCACAGTGAGATCAGAATCATTGGAGTAGAAAAGACCAATATCTAAAGTATATTTAAGATACCTCAGAATGTGTAATGCAACAAACATATGAGGAACGCGAGGACACTTTAAAAACTGACTAAGATGTTGTACATCAAAACATATATCCGGCCTAGTATGGGTCAAGAAAAGCAACTTGCCAACCAAACTCCGAAAGAATTCAGGTTTATCCAAGACTTCGCCACTATCAGCCGATAACTTCTCATGAAGTTCCAAAGGGCAAGCAACAGGAGAAACATCTTCACATTTATATTCAGAGAGCAAGTCAGATACAAATTTCTTCTGATTCAACAGGAGACCTGAAGGAAAATAAGATATTTCAATGCCCCAAAAGTAATATAACTGACCCAAGTCTTTGATCTTGAATTGGGTATGGAGAAACTGTTTCAAGGCAGAGATTTCAGTAGCATTATCCCCTGTAAGAATTATATCATCAACATACACAACTAAGGCTGTGAAAGACCCAGGAGAACCCTTGACAAAAAGAGAATAATCAGTGAAGGAATGAGAATAGCCCTGAGAGCATAAAGCATGAGATAATTTTGCATACCACTACCGAGAGGCTTGCCGGAGACCATATAAGGATTTTTGCAATTTACACACTAAAGGGGCAGAAGTAGAAGAACTAGCAGCAGAAAGGGAAAGGCCAGAGGGTAACTTCATATACAGGTCACCATGCAGAAATGCATTATTGATATCTAGTTGAAAAAGAGGCCATTGTCTCTTTACAGCTACTACTATTAAGCATTTAACGGTGGACATCTTTATCACCGAAGAGAATGTCTTAGTAAAATTAACACCCTCTACCTGTGTGTCACCCCTAATAACAAGTCGGGCTTTATATCTTTCAATAGACCCATCAGCTTTATATTTAATTTTATAAACTCACTTACAACCAATAGGCTTTTTTTCTTTAGATAACTCTATGATATCCCAAGTGTGATTAGCCACTAAGGCCTCAAATTCCTTTTTCATGACATCCTGCCAAGCTGGAATAGATGCAGCTTAGGAATAAGTACTAGGTTCAAATTTAGCATGCTTTAGGACATAATTGGAGCAAGAAGAAGAGGAATAAAGAATGCATAAGTAGTCTTACAAATAGGCAGGAAGATTATGCTCCCTAGTAGACCTTATGAGATTCGAAGGATGAATAGGAAGAGAAGAAGATGGTACTGACACAGGTGGAATAGAAGAAGTAAAGGAAGCAGAAGGAATGGATGAGTCATCATGAAAAAAATGACAGGGAGAGGGAGATACAGGAAAAGAAGTAGGAGTAGAACAAGAAAAGTCTTTAGGGAGAGATAAAGGAAAATAAATTTCATGAAAGACCACATCCCTTGAAATGAAATACTGTTTGGTAGCTAAGTTATACAACTTGTAACTTTTCTTGGCAAAAGGATAGCCAAGGAAAACACAAGGAATTGCTCTTGGTTTGAACTTATCTCTGTATGGTATAGGAACTGTAGCATAACATAAACAGCCAAAACTTGTCAAATGAGAGTAACTAGGTGCCTTACCATACAACATTTCAAAAGGTGACTTATCATGAAGAAGCTTGGAAGGTAATATGTTGATTATGTAAGTGGCTGTCAATAAATAGTCACCCCAAAAGTGCATAGGTACTTTGGATTGGAACATTAAAGCTCTAGATGCTTCAAGGAGGGTCTTATGTTTTCTCTCAATCACTCCATTTTGTTGAGGTGTATAAGGGCAACTAGCCTGGTGGATAATACCATTTTTTGAAGAAAAAAAAAATACTGAGGAGGCAGAGGAACTAGATCCAAGTTCTAGAGCATTATCACTTCTGATGGTTTGAACAATGGTGTGGAAGTGAGTCTTAATCATGGTGACAAACATTTTTATTAAAGGAAAGACATTGCTTTTGGACCCCATTAAATGGGTCTCATCTTGTTTGTCTGGACATGGGACACACATTGCAAATAAAGGACTGCCTAGAAGATAAGGAATCAGATAAACCAGAAATAACTTTCATTCTGACAAAAGGGATATGTGCAAGTCTCTGGTGCCAAATGATATCCATTTTATTTATGTCATCCGTATTACAATAAGAAGGAACAGTGCACACATTAGGTAAGCTAACATTGGATTCACAATTAGGAACAGAAATATAAGGAGGAGAAAGTGAACTAGGTGCATCACACATATGATGTAAACTAGGGACAAAATCACAATTAAAGGCAGAAACTTTAGGAGAAGAATCTGAGTTGACAGTATTCTGGAAACATGAATCAGTATAAAACAGAGGATGTGATGATGACTTTTTCCATACAAGCTTGTACAATCTAGTGTCCAGTTTACCAAGATCCAAAAGCTTCTTCAGAGAAGGGCCATGTAATAGCATACAAGAATCATAAGTAAACAGGATAAAACATCTGAATTGTTGTATCATCCTGTACACAGAAATGAGATTATGGTGGAAGGAAGGAATATAGAGAACATTGTGAAGAACAATAGAGGGATGCAAAGCAAATGAATCAGTGGAAGTTACTTTTACTTTATAACAATTTGGAAGAGATACAAGATAAGGTACAGGTAAAGGAGTTATATTGAACAAGAACTCTTTATTGGATGTCATGTGGTCAGTTGCACCAGAGTCAATGATCTAGGTTAAATTTACTGAAGGAGAAAGCATGCAAGAATTAGAACTAGTACTACTCAACAAATCAGCAACTAAAGATGTACCAGCAAAATTGGTAGAAGCCATGAGATTGGACTGAGGAGTGGGGTCTGACACATGAGACTGCTGCAGCAAATTCATCAACTAATTGTACTGCTGTTTTGTCAGACCAGGTATCATGGAGGCATGCTCAGAGTTAGATGGAGGACCAAAAATGTTAGGAGCAGTAGGCTGAGCACCACCACTGGGATTGAGTTCAGAAAAATCAACCTCAACACTAGCATTTGCTGCAATTCTTTCGCCTTTAGTAAAATTGAGGTTAGAAGGATAACCATGAAGTTTATAACATTTTTCGATTAGGTGTCCAGGCTTCTTGCAGTATTTGCAGAATAAGGAAGCCTTGACCTGATCACCATTTGCCCCCTGTTCAAAGTTCACCCTCTGATTATATGGCTTTTGAGGAGGAAGAATTTTGTTAAACATGTTGGCATTGAAAGAAGCTAAATCTGAGTTAAATTGGGGGAAAGATTTGACTTGTCTTGGACTCTCATCTTGGAGCAAAATGTTGTATGCATTATCAAGGGATGGAGAAGGCCGCATCATTGTGAGATTGCTTCTAACATTTATATAGGTTTCATTTAATCCGATCAAGAATTGGTATAATTTATTTTCTTCAACTTCCTGTTGCAAACCAGGTTTAGCTGCACAAGTGCAAGTGTTCATATGATTCTTACACGTGAAACCTAGTTCATCCCATAACCTCTTTAACTTGTTAAAGTAAGATGCTATGTCAAGAGATCCTTGACAAGTTGAAGCCAGTTCTTTCTTAATCTCAAATACCTTTGTCCTATTGACAGCCCCATATCTACTCTCAAGTTACTTCCAAATACTTTCAGCAGTCTTAGAGTATTGAACACTCTCCTCAATTTTAGGGGATAAAGAACTAGTCAGCCAAGATATCACCATATTGTTACACCTATTCCACTGCTTTAATCCAGGTGTATTATCAGAAGGTTTAGGACAAGTTCCATCTATGAAGGCTATTTGATTCTTTGCAGATAAAGCCACAATCATACTTCTTCTCCAACCCCCAAACCCAGTACTAGAAAAAGGCACATGCACCAAAGAAGTGTCAGGAACATCAGAGGAATGTAAAAACAAAGGACCAGAGGGATCTGGAGCATCCACGGAGGTAGAAGTAGCATTACTTCCAATGATTACTCAATTTAGGAGTATAATACTCAAAATATACATGCAGTAAGCAAGCAAAAATAGATACGGAGATGCATACCTCTACAACCACGAAACAGATATATGCTATTTTATATAGAGAATTAGAAATAGAAATACTACTCTTCTTCGTCACTGGAAGAAGTAACAACCTTTAATTCTAGAAACTCCTTCCGAAATAATCCGCACTCACCAGCAAATTGAAAATGGAGACCGATGCAAACCCTTGTTTCGGCCTCAGGAGGAAACTGAGATACTCGAGCGAAAAATTGCAAAGCTTCACGAAATCACCGGAAAGCCTCACCAGTACTGAAAAACAAAACTTACTGTAAACTCAATCAAAATCGGCGAACCAGCTGAGAGATGAAAAAAAACTTTAAGAAAACCCTTCGAGGGTAATATCGAACGAAAGCGTAGCACAAGATCTATTCGAATCTCTGCTCTGATACCATGATAACATTTGAAAACAGAGAAATCGCCATGAAAATTTATTCTAGGGTTAGAGAACATTCGAGAGAAAAACCATGGCTCAGATCTTTTCACATTAGCTAATGTTCCTTCTGTCCAACTGTACAGAGAAAATAATATATATACAATGGGCCTAAATGTACCCGAACCGGACCTAACAAACTCAAGTCCACTAAGACAAAATAATGTAATACATTAAGTTACAACTATTAGACTTATATCAAGTTTGGGCATGGTTATGTCGTGGGCCAGAAATTGAATATTCTTCAAGTCCAACAAATTATTCAAAAATCAATAAGAATTTGGGATACACGTAAATAAAATAATAGATAATAAACAGTTAATTGAAAATCACATAATAGAAATTCCAACAGGAACTGAGAACTGTAAGAATCAGATGATACATATCCTAAATAATCAATTGCGCACCGTAATAAATTAAGAACAGACAATATAAAGATTTAAAGAAGAAAAATACGTCAATAAAAAACAGTAAGTTTGAAATTCAAAACAAACAATATTATCAGCTGGACCTTATTTTGAAACAACTTTTTTCTCAATTATTAGCAAAAAAGACTTTTTCCTCAACTGATTCCTCACAACCTCGAGCCTTTAAATATGATATTATTTGCATACGTCCTTAAAATAGTTCTCCAAACACCATTTAATCATATTCCGAAGATCATGCAATTTCTTAACGTGCAATCGTAGCTCAGACCCGTTTTTTATTCGTATCAAATGTGAGTCGGGTCGAATAATTTATCCGTTTTTGATACGTCTTATATCCGACCCGACTCGCATGTTTGCCACCCCTAGTGCTAACTATCCGCGGGGATCTCATCAAACATTATTCTCTTTTTCCCACTAATTTTAAAGACATAGTTTAACAGAACTACATTAGGAAACATTATTTCTTTTTTCCACTAATTGCTTTAAGGATATCTTATTTTCTTACTATTGTTATTGTTTCTTTTTCATGTTTTTTTCACTATAGTATTTTTTATTCATGATTGCTGATTTATGCTTTTATAAGTGGAGTGTTTATCGAAAACAACCTCTCTATATTTACAAGGCAGAGAACTTGTAGGATTTCACTATTGTTGTTGTTTTTTGTTGTTGTTTTGGGAATGCATATATCGTGTTTTCGGTCTTTTACGCCATTTGCTTCCTTGTAAAAATATATGCATCACAAATGCGTGCGTCGACAAAGGAAAAACCAAAGTGGAAGAAAACATAATATGTAAATAGTGACAAGAGCTTTATTTATATCAGACCAAATTAAAGAGGTACACAGCTATTCATAGGGTAACACAAAAGAAACCAAAACATACACACAATTTTCACTTGACACATGTTACTATTTTTAACAAAAAAAAGATACAACAGATTAAAGAAAGAACTAGCCCAGCAAAATATGGAACAGCTTGCTGCGGTTGAAATCTCTTTTAGCGAGTCATGCCTGGTGCAATAGGGGGAGGTACAGTGACTCCATCTTGACTCCATTTCTGAGCATTAGCCATCCATCCTTTACCCATGCAACCAATCAATAATCAGAATGCAAAATTCAATTCAATTTAGCATCTGTCATATATACTCTTAAATTTGTAATATACCAAAATTTGGTGAACTAATCCCTAACAAAAAATTCAAAAGTTTATCAAAAACACTCTATTTAGATTCGACTAGTTATTTACAGGAAGAAATGTTGTTAAAAAAAGTCCCTGGATAAAAAGAATCAAGTCTGAATATTCTACCTCTAGTTTACACAAATAGCCGGCAACATTTATTGTTTACTTTTCCTAGTCATATACATAGATTATACATATATATAATACATAAATTATGCATATTATACCTCAACCGTTTTTTTTAATTTAAGTGGTTGAGTGAACGACTATTTGAGTTAATTCTTTTGCTATTCTATATATAATGAGTTCAAATGAACTGTGGCACGTAAAAGTTTCAGCAGGGTAGTATATATTGTGTTTATATACCTTGGGAAGGGTCAAAACCGCGGTTTTTGAGCTCTCTGTATTCTTGGCAAACAGCACAAGGGAGACAACAAAAATGAACAAGGCAATCTCCACAAGGGTCCTCTGGCAAGCTAAAGTAGGCTCTCAGTTTTGTACGATAAGTGCATGTGTAGACACAAGCACAACACACATGAGCCAAGCAATAGTATATTACACCAGCATGAGCACAAGCTGCAAAATTAATTAGCAGGTTATACATATATATGTAGTCAAATGTAAAAATGAATAAAGGGCAGTTCGGTACACAAAATATCTTATATTCATGCAGGGTCCAGTGAATGGCCGCACTCCAAAGGGTGTATTATATAGGCAGATTTGTCATGACGTAAGCATCGGTGACTGATTTCACGGACCGAACCCGTAACTTATAAGTCACACGGAGATAACTTTACCGTTGCTCCAAGTCTTCCCTTCACATTTAAAAATGAACAGGAAAAAAGACAAAAAAAGCAGAAACAAAGAAACTTTTATAGCTTACAAGTAGTTCCTTTATCAATTATTTCAACATTTTGGCCAAAGGTGACACAAGGACACCAACAAGTGACACAACCTGCAAATAATCAAGACTGATTAAATTCAGAACCAGGGAAAAAANGGGGGGGGGGGGGGGTGTTCTTCCAATAATTTTTTTAGAAGAATTAAGTGTCTTACAGTTAGAGCGATCATCACAGCAACCACATAAACCGGTGGTCCATTGGCCCGGAGCACCACTGTCGGCAACCGGAGTTCCTGTCATGACAAGGTAATGAGAAGAGTAATGGGACAGGTTTTGCAGTGTATAATATATGGAAAACTGTAAACGTATATATAGGGATGCACTTTAGCTTAATTACGTGAGCTTTGAGAGTTTGGCCAAGAAAATATTTGTAATTTAAGAGTCATGGTACTATCGTGTAGCTATATTAAATTAGTTAATGATCAATTGATATATTTTTAAGTGAACTGCCAATAATGATTTTGATTCCAGTACTTGAGAAATGAGAGAGAGAAATTAAAATATAGGTATATTGATGCTATATTCATAGTTCTATGGTTGAATGCATGGCTGGAATTTAGAAGTCATCTTCCTCAGATGAAGGCAGTTCCAAGTTTGAATTGGTCAATAAGAAATTCCCTACTCTTTTTAATTCATTATTACTATGTTTTTCTATGAAGTTGGAGTCAACGTTGACCAGAATATATAGCACCTAGTTGCTTCTTAATTATCATACTGCAATGCTAGCAGCT